GGGGGGGGGGGGGGGGGGGGGGGGGGTAGTGGGGTTGACGAGGCACAATTTCTTTATCGAGAGTTCTCTCAAGATTTTGATTTACTTATTACTCAGATGTGTATATCCAGAAAGGAATCTTTCAAAAGTATCCTGTTTCTAAATGTAGGATAAGGAACTGAATTACAAATTAGATACCTTGGGATTGACAAATTTTTCTTTTTCCCCTGAGCTTTCTAATTGGTCAAGAGACATATTTGGCCACATTAACTTGCTTTTAATCAACTCATCACTAATTCTGACATCCTGATAATCCATTGTTGTGTCGTATAAATCAATGCTAAACAGCCTGTTAACTTCAATCAAACCACTCACAAGACCTAGAATCAAACAGAAATCAACACTACGTACTCAATAAATGATCAACAGCAAAATGTAGAAGTTTGTTGACAAATAGCATATCTAGTATAATCCATTAGATTAAACTACTCACAAGTTCACCATTTGTGTAACTTGTACTGGTAAAATTTCCTGGTTTTATATTTCCATTTTTAGTGCAAAGTGTCTAAGTTGATACTTTACTTCTTGATATATTTTCCCACAAATGATAAACCTAAAAAAAGAATTCTATTATCAGGGTGGGGTGGGGGGTGGGGGGTGGGGTTAAAGAGGTTTATTTTGATCATTCAGATGTTGATATTATTTGAATTAAAAGTTTATCATTTGATGAGGAGCCCTGTTTATAATTTTTGAAATGTGTTCTGTATGTCACCAGCATTTTTTGCAAGCTCTCTTAATGTCTCATCTATCTGAGAATTTATTAGTTACACCGTTTGTTTTTTTTGGCAGGTTTATACACAAAAGGTCTTATCTACATAGATGTCCCAATTGCTGATGATGACTACATAGTCGGTAAAAAAATTTAGTTTGAAATCTGCCTAGTATAGTAAGTAGAGTAGTTGGCAGATCTCCAGATGAAGTGGTCCAGGCTCGAGCCCTGGCTGGGGACATTGTGTTATGTTCTTGGGCAAGACACTTTACTCTCACAGTGCCTCTCTTAACCCAGGTGTATAAATGGGTACTGGTGAATTTAATGCCAGGATGTAGCCCTGTGATGGACTAACATCTCATCCAGGGGCGGAGAAGAAATACTCCTAGTCACTTCTTGCTACAGAAACCAGGATAAGCTCAGGCCTGATGGGCCACGTGGCTCATATGCAGACTTTTCGTGTTTACCAGTTCCAGTATTCTCGCTCGCACACTAATGATAGGATGCCTACATGTATATCCAGCTAAACTGACTGATTACTGACTTTTCATTACTTCCTTTTCACTGCAGTTCCACCTTTAGAGAATTTTGTGATGAACAGAGTGCTGGGTGATTATTTTGAAGTTCTAATGTACAAGATATTTGTTTCTATAGATGAGCACACTAACATAGCAGAGGTAAGCTCGTCATTTAATTATTCGCATCGGTAATTTATGTTTTATGCACTAATTGAAGGAGCAGTAATCCCGTAGTTAAATTTCTCATTTAAATAGAGATCGGTGCCTTTCAAGGGAGGATTCCAAGAAAGAAAATTAAAATAAAATGTCTCACTTTGTGTTGTGAACTTCAAATAGTTTTACACCAGGAGTAGGATAAAACAAAGTCATTGCTTGGGGTGGGGTGCTGGGGATATTTTCTCGTGGGAGTGGGTGTTGGTAATAATGTTTCTCCTAGGGAGTTGTTGCTGATAGTTATTGTAAATTGGAGGAAACAAATAATGTTAATTTAGCATCTTTTGTTGACTGTAATGGATATGTTTTGCATTTGTGTTTTACTTTACAGTTAGCAAATGTTTTACAGATTGATTTACAATTAGTTAAGGTAAGATTTTTTGATCTTTGAAATAGGTGATCAAGTTATTATTAGTGCACAATTTTTTCTTTTACACGTACTACAAATGTAGAAATGCATAGAAAGGTTGTTTATGCCACACAGAAACTGCAGAAAGATTGGCTTCTTGAATGATGGTAGGTTCTGGACTTGTGACATTTTGATATCGGATTTTGTCTTTCAGAATGCTGTGTCAGTTTACATTCGGTTGGGATTTGCCCACAAGAAGGGCGAAGAAATGGACGAGATGAAGCTACACCACTCCTGGACAGAGAAAGTCAACAGTTTGGCAATGAAAAGGTAGTTCTCAATGTCCCAAGCTACAGACAAGCTAACTTTTGAAGTATCCACACTGTGCCACACAGCCACGGATCCATTTGGAACAAGAATATTAGCTAATTTCACCCTTAGGTCTCAATTTAAAAATAAACCTACAAATTCTACTACTGTATAAACGAATTGGTAAAGCAGGAAAATGAAGAAAAAACCAATATGAAAGCAGGGTTAATGCGGCAAAAGGCTGAAAAGAACGGCTTGAGGCTTAGAGGTGATTTTCAAGCAATCAACGACCAATATGATGTGCCTTGACAAGACGCACATACAGCTTTGTCACAGCTTGCTTGCAACTTGCAATAGGTAAGTTTAGGAACTTCTGGTGCGTTGAATGCAGAAAGAATTGAGTTTACAAAGGGGAATTTTGTAAAAAAATTATTGAGGAAGTGATCGCCAACTGGGCATCTAAACGCAATCTGGGTGTGGAACACGAACCTCTCTAGGGAAAGAATTGGCTTTGGTCTCGCTTGAGGGACGACCTGTTGTTGAGCACTTTTCCTGTTTTGTTTTGATTTGCTGTTTTCGTCTTGTCTTACACTAGATATGGAAGCAGAGACAATTTGTTGACTCTAGATCTTAACAACCTTCCTGAGAAGACAAATTCTGTGTCTTCACTGGACGCTCCGGCAACTGATGCCCAAGAAACAAATGGAGAATTGTCCACTACAGGTAGAAATAACATGCACTGGCAACTCCTTCTTGAAATATAAGCACTGACCTTTAGCGGTGACAGTCCAGTTTTAAAAGTGATTGTTGTGGTTTCTTATTCTGTGTGCTTTGTGTAATGTAGAGTTTGTACGACTTGCTTTTGTCTTTTGTTTTACAGAGAACATTTCAGGAGGGAATTCTAAGAGAATTGCATTCCTATTTGACTCTACACTGACGGCATTTCTTATGATGGGCAACCTCTCACCGGTGAGAAACTGCTTTAGTTTTCCCTTAAAGTGATTGGTTTAAAAAACCTCACGCCACCTACAGTACTTGACCGATCAGAGGCAATACCGAAATAAATCACCAATTGGTCACGTGCGTTTTCCCGCGCTTGGCTTTGTACGTATTCGCGTTGTGTTCTCATTGGTTCGCTGTGTCGTTTACTTTTATTGTGATTGGCCAGTGTGGTTGCTTTGGTTTTGGTTTCATAATAGGCTCGATTACCAGCCGCTGTTCGGGAAGGGATATAATGGCGGAAATCGAGACTTAGTGGGAAAGCGTTCAAAAGAGGAAATAACGTGATGATTTTTTTCGATGCAGGGTTTAAAGAGTCATGCTGTCACCATGTTTGAAGTTGGAAAGCTCACAGACGAATCCTTGGACAGCTTTCTTGGGGAGCTTGAAAAGGCAAGTTCTGATTGAAGCACTTGTTTAGAATTGTTTCTTTAAGTTGATAGTAAATATTAAATGATGTGTGTGTTAACTGTTCATCTGCAGGTGGATAGTGTGGCAGAAGGCGAAGCACAGCGATATTTTGACCACGCCATCACACTTAGGGACACTATCCTGTTCTTGAGATACAACAGGAACCTTGGTTTAGAACCTGGTCAAGTACCTGCTAAGGGCTTAGGTGAGTAATGTATTTAAGGGTCCTGTACCTTAGCCCCTTTTTTATGACAGGTTAAAATAGGGGAGGTATGCCTTGAGCTTTAAAGTCATTTTTTTGTGATGAACGAAGTTACCTCCAGGATTTGGTACTTTATTATTAGTTACCTCCAGATTGAAAGAAACGACATGAATTGGGCTCAGAGGGTTAAACTAAAAGAAACACATGATATGACTGATTAGAAGCAATGCATGTGATGATTAATGAGCAAACATGTCTTCTGAAGACCAGAGGCTACTTTAAGTCGCTTTTATCGGGTTTCTCATAGCAAGCGTGCTATTACAGTGTACTTGGATTTGTATCTCAATGGGAAAAGCGTTTTTGTTTACTTTGTAGATCTGTTGCGATGTGAAAGTCTTAACAGTTTAGATTCTGCTGCCTGTGGTCGGGTACTACAGAAAAACTACAGGTAATTGATCAAAAAGAAGCCCACTCCTGACATTTTCTATGCAACAAGAGTAAAATTTAGTTCTTTTTGTACTACGTGCCTTTTAATGCTCAGAAATTACGTCTGCCAATGAAGAAGCCTTCGCTGAATGACTTATTCGGTTTCAGTGTGGAACTTAAAGCTCATAATTTAAACAAGCACCCAAGAATTACAATACTAGACTACGAGTAGTCCCTCTTCCGCTTAGTCCTTTGAGTGAGACCGTAAATATACTGCTAAGAAACTTGCCTCCTTTCGCGTACTTCTCGCCCCCAGGATTTCGCGCAGCCAGTTTTTTCTCGCGATTTTCTCGCGATTTTCTTTCGTGTCACGCACGACGGGCCAAGTGAAAGAGGGACTACTCGTAATCTATTACGATACGACCTACAATGATGAACAAAAGTCTTGGGACAAATTTGCTCTTTTGGCGCTTTTGCACACACGCCAAACGTAATAAAACTTCACCTGCCTTGTCTCTCTCTCCCCTCCCGCCCACCCCACATATGATGTTGAAAACTGTTGATCGAGCTTGATCAATGTCGATGTCACTTCCATTGTATTGGATGGGGATTAGGGGGGTGGGGGGCAGCAAAGCGTTTTTTAAAAGCACAGCAGTGCTTTTTTCAAACTTCAATTGTAAAACACAGATAATTCGTTTCATTACATAAGTGTCCCAAGGACTTTTTGTCCACGATTGTAGCTAATTTTTTCCCCTCATTTCAGCTTATTAGTGTCCATGGCCCCTCTTAGCAACGAGATTCGACCCGTAACGAGCTGTTGCCCGCCACACATTGGTCCAGCTGTACCCGAGGTCAACTCAGTTTGGTTTAAACTCTTCATATATGACCAAGTGAAAAATGGTCCGCCGTCACTTCTTTTAGTCAAGGGTACAAGACTGACATGGTTACCCAAGATTTTTGAGGTAGGTATGGCAAAGGGTAAAGTCTGCATACAAGCCAAGTGGCCTGTCAGGCCGGAACTTATCCCGGTTTTTGTTTTATGAAGCGACTAAGAATATTTCTACTCCTCCCTGGATGGGATGCTGGTCTATCGCAGGGCTACCCCCCAGCATTTAATTCGGCGGTGTCCATTTATATACCTGGGTGGAGAGAGGCTCTGTGAGAGAAAAGTGTCTTGCCTAAGAACACAACACAATGACCCCGAACAGGGCTTGAACTCGGACCGCCCGATCCGGAGTCGAGCGCACTAACCATGAGGCCACCGTGCCTCCACAGATATTTTGAGCTTACAGCAGTTTATGATAATATATGTATAAAAAAATGTTTATCAATGTGTTGAGAGAGGAAAATGATTACGAAGAGTCGAAAAGATTGCGAAATCAGTTATTGAAGAGCGTTTTTTCTTTCTTAGGATTATGAAAGATTAATGATAACAACGTGGGGTCACGATCCAGGAATTGTTCCCGTGTCTAACGTTTTATTGGCGCTCAACGACGCATTGTCCCACTCTGCAGTTTTAGTACAGGTGAGTTCACACTGTAAGAGATTATTCTAGATTAGCGCGGGTTTCAAATTCCTTTCAGAAAACCCAGAGAGCAGAGCATAGCAGAGTTGAATACAGTGACAATCAATGCGATAAGCCAATCAGAACTCGTAGTCAAATGTGCATGCAGTTTTTTGAGCACGGGAAAATCAAACGCGTGCAACTGGAGGTGAGCGCGGGAAAAGCAAAATTTGCAACCGGGGAAAAGAGCGGGAAAATGACGTAAGCTAAATCACGGATGGTTTCAGTCATGCACTTGATTGGTTAGAAATTTAAGATCTTCGTTGTGATTAGTTTACAGTCAACTCTCTCTAAGACGGACGTCGTCGGGACCGGCCTCAACTAGCTGTCCGTTTTAGAGAGGTGTCCGGCTTATAGTGAGTTTGGTTACAGTAACATGACTGAAAAATGACAGGGAATATTGTCATGTGTCCGTCTTGTAGAGGTGACTGTAAACTTGTTGTAGGAATGTGATCACTTAAACGCTTTATTGCTTTGTGGAAAACCTGGAAAATTGCTCCATGAAGCTGTTGGTTTTAGTAATTTAGAAAATGAAAAATGCTTTAGAAAGGTGTCCCCTGTACATACTGTGTTGGTTTTTCTATGCAGGCTCATGGAGTGCACACTGAAGGAGATGTAGTGTATGTACCTTTTCCATTAGACTGTAAATACGGTAAGTAGCGGAAAATTGTAATAAAACAACAACAACAGCAACAATAAATTGGTTCATTTGAGTAATTTTTAATTGACTGTCGAAAGTAATCACAGGCAGTTATTTTGGTTTTGGTTTTGGTTTGACTACGGTTTGAGATTGGCTGAATAGTCTTGGTTTGGTTTGGTTCTACGCCAGTAATTAAAAACTGCTCTTATAAATTGTAATAGCTGCCCTTAACCTTATATGAGACTCATGTTATGTTAGACAATAATATTACCTAATTATTGCTCATACTACATACATTGACCCTTACACACTTTCCAATGAAACATGTATCATGACAACTTGCCAGGGGAGAAAACCTTTTCTCGTCGCCTTGTAAATTTGCGGGGCAATTTTTTTTCCCGCAATTACGGTGAGCAATTATTTCGATGATATTTCGGATAATCTTCGGTCCTCCTCGAAAATGGTCGGCACCACCTATTAAATCGTCGGTTAACTCCCTACAGGCGAACCGTTCTCCGAAGACAACATGGAAGCGCACCCCGCCGTTCAACAACTCTCGAAATGTCTCGACCTTGAACACACGTGCGGCTTCATCTCGATGTTAAAGCCTTCGGTGACTAAACAAGCGGCGAACGCGCGCCGAAGGACCATTTCGGCAAATTTCGGGATGCCTTCGCCCGCTGCGAACGATCCTCGGTCGCTGTCGCCACTGATCGTCATCAACGACGCGGACAGCAGCCAGGACTCGGCGAGCGACGAACAAAACGAAGAGGACGGAGTGGACCCGATGTCGTGTAGTTCTGTGGATGACATGGTAATGGTTGGCAAGGGCAAGAAGGAGAATGAAGAAGAAGCCATCGCTGGTAAATGGTTGCCGTTAGACCTGTGCTATGGTCTGCCTCTGTTCGATGGAGACTTGTGTAAACAGGTCTATCAGAAGGTACAGATCAGAAATAAAGCTGAGACGGTTTTTAGTTGCATGGATGATGAAACTAGAATTTAACTCGATGACAAATGATCAACAATAGTTCAGCATTTTAGGCACTCAGTCACGGTATTTTGAGTTATTTTGGCCACGTACAAAATTACATTTATGTTGAAGCAACCTGAAAATAGCAGTTTACTTAGATAGAAAAACACCAAAGTGACAATATTAAACAATAAAGGAACAAGGATTGTTAAGGATGGAGAAGATTAACACGGTTTACAAACGACGAACTTGAAAAATTAAGGATAAACTTTTCAACATGCGCAAATCACGTGTCATTCGCGCATTGTGCAGCACTATAAAACAAGTAAACCATATTACTGTTTTAAGAAGCAGTTAAGCTTCTTGATACTGCTCAATCGCAAACTGGTAAAGTAAGTAAAAACTTCTCTAAATATTTTACTTAACAACAAGATTATGAGCTCGAGATTTCGATCACGCGTAGAAATCGAGAGCGAATAAACTAATTGTCTTAGTATAAATATACAAGTCGTTCAAAACTTAACAAATCCTCTTCACGGACACTTTGAAAAGGCAAAGAAGCGGGCGCCATTTTGTTACCAACCGCACACTGCTAGGCTACTCACCATCAACGGCAGAATAGATAGTGAGTAGCGTAGCCAATAAGAGAACGGCATTCGTGAGAGAACGCTGGTAGACCTATACTAAATCGGTAGAGTAGGGTATCTGGATCTTACGTCAAGACTACAGTTTCTTATTTTGAGGAGCAACTCGCTGAATACAGTAATAACGGCAGGTTACCAAATATGTACAACTTTTGCTTCAAACCAATAATTTGAAGAAAGTACTTGCGATGCTTCAATTTATGTTGTACCGTCATTTTGTTTCAATTATGTGTTTTGAATGTTCTTTTGCAGATCTCTTCCAAAGGATTATGTCATGAAGACAGGTAACAATTCTGACAATCTTTGAGTTGCAAATCTTAATTACACCTTTTGCATTAAAAACAGCATATAAGCAGACAGGCAAGTCACTGATCTTTGAATTGTCTATTTTTCTTTTGCAGTTTAAATTCACTAGTGCACTCCAGCCGAAAACTCACTCTGAGGGTATTGGATTTTATATCCAAGCATCAGGTAAATATTTTTCAGTTCTCTTCTCATTTCTAACAGTAAGTTGCCTTTCAGTCGTCCGGCGCACCAGCTGTGCCACACGAATTTACTTCCGGTGGAAACTTCGTCTTCGAGAATAACGTTTTAAGTCGGAGACGTTGCTTAGCAACATGACGTCAAGCTGACGTGTGACTTCACTGTGGTCGCTTGTACATTCACCAATTTTTGATTGCACATTGAGAATTTGATTTCCCGTAACGGAAAAAAACGCGAAAAAGCATATGAGTATATTTCTGGCATGTTAGACTTGCAAATAGGCTAGGCCGTCCAAGTCTCTCAGCAGACAGTCGCAGTGAGAAAAAAGGGTATAATTCGTGATAAAAATTTGCTTATTGAAGCTATTTTGTTTCACATGACTGCCATCTCTTTGCAGGACGCCTCGCTCTTTCAAGAATCAGCCAGCGATTTGAACACATTCTCTCCACAAGGGCTTGGTTCTTCAGCGTCAGTTATCCCTTATCCAACTCGTAACCTCTCCTTCTACAACGGCCAACTTGGGGTCTGGGACGGCAGGTGACAAAAACTCCTGACATGACGTAACCAATAATACTGAATCTCTATTTCCAATGCATTTTGTACGATATATCGAAGTTGAGGGAAAATATTTGAAAAAGTAACAAAATTAAGGCCCAGTCCATGATATGAGGTCTAGAATTATTTGAAATCTTACATTTCCTGCAAATATCTGGACAGAGGCAAGTTTACAAGATTCGCTTGTTTTACATCAGTTCACGGTTTCTATGGCTATTTTAGAGGCAGCGTTTTAATAAGGCAATTTCAGTTCGCAGGAACATGCTAGGCAATTCCTTGCCCGTCTTGACCTGTAAAGCCTCATAACGAGTTGGGTAATAATTAATCATGTGCGTTTATTCTAACTTAATCTCCTAAGGCGTTTGAAGTAACTCCTGGCGTCATTTTTGCCTAGAAATGGTATTTATGTGCATATAATAACCATTTATTCCTGAATTTATAAAAGAAAACGAGAACCTTTTACGGGCTCTTATAAACAAGTGTACGCATATTTATCCCGTCTTTGAAAGCTCCCTTGAAGGTATCCCGCAGGCCTTTGCACAGGTATTCATTCGGATGTTTTGGCGGGAAACAGCCGGGACCTGTGCGGAAGTACACTGTGCCGCGTCTGTCACAGAGCAAAACTGTTTCCCGCCAAAAATCTGAATGCATAAATGACCATAAACGCTGCATTACCCTCCCCCTGTATACCCAGAATTTCAAGGTACCCCTGTATTTTACTTAAAAGTCCCTTCCATTTCCCAAATGGTAGCCCGAAATAATGCTTAAGTGGAAAACGGTGTAAATGAATGTTTTTTTTTATTAACCTCCATCTCAGTTGGTTTTTTTAAAATATTTTCTTTGAACTAGTTGATCGAAAAGAGATAACTTGACAGGGCTTTTGAGACATGTATTGCGATGAAATTAATGGTTTTCCAACGAGTGAAACCACATTATTTCGCGATAATTACCTCGCAAATGTGTCGTGTCATTGCTCTGAAGATCAAAATCACTGCGACTCTGCCCAACAAGGAGTATCTTTTCTTCCAGCTAGTCGTAATTGTAGACTCATAACGTCATTTCTTAATCGAATTAAGTTTATGGTGTAGGGTACAGGTGAATTTTCCACTGGCGGCCCTGGGGGGGGGGGGGTAGTGGGGTTGACGAGGCACAATTTCTTTATCGAGAGTTCTCTCAAGATTTTGATTTACTTATTACTCAGATGTGTATATCCAGAAAGGAATCTTTCAAAAGTATCCTGTTTCTAAATGTAGGATAAGGAACTGAATTACAAATTAGATACCTTGGGATTGACAAATTTTTCTTTTTCCCCTGAGCTTTCTAATTGGTCAAGAGACATATTTGGCCACATTAACTTGCTTTTAATCAACTCATCACTAATTCTGACATCCTGATAATCCATTGTTGTGTCGTATAAATCAATGCTAAACAGCCTGTTAACTTCAATCAAACCACTCACAAGACCTAGAATCAAACAGAAATCAACACTACGTACTCAATAAATGATCAACAGCAAAATGTAGAAGTTTGTTGACAAATAGCATATCTAGTATAATCCATTAGATTAAACTACTCACAAGTTCACCATTTGTGTAACTTGTACTGGTAAAATTTCCTGGTTTTATATTTCCATTTTTAGTGCAAAGTGTCTAAGTTGATACTTTACTTCTTGATATATTTTCCCACAAATGATAAACCTAAAAAAAGAATTCTATTATCAGGGTGGGGTGGGGGGTGGGGGGTGGGGTTAAAGAGGTTTATTTTGATCATTCAGATGTTGATATTATTTGAATTAAAAGTTTATCATTTGATGAGGAGCCCTGTTTATAATTTTTGAAATGTGTTCTGTATGTCACCAGCATTTTTTGCAAGCTCTCTTAATGTCTCATCTATCTGAGAATTTATTAGTTACACCGTTTGTTTTTTTTGGCAGGTTTATACACAAAAGGTCTTATCTACATAGATGTCCCAATTGCTGATGATGACTACATAGTCGGTAAAAAAATTTAGTTTGAAATCTGCCTAGTATAGTAAGTAGAGTAGTTGGCAGATCTCCAGATGAAGTGGTCCAGGCTCGAGCCCTGGCTGGGGACATTGTGTTATGTTCTTGGGCAAGACACTTTACTCTCACAGTGCCTCTCTTAACCCAGGTGTATAAATGGGTACTGGTGAATTTAATGCCAGGATGTAGCCCTGTGATGGACTAACATCTCATCCAGGGGCGGAGAAGAAATACTCCTAGTCACTTCTTGCTACAGAAACCAGGATAAGCTCAGGCCTGATGGGCCACGTGGCTCATATGCAGACTTTTCGTGTTTACCAGTTCCAGTATTCTCGCTCGCACACTAATGATAGGATGCCTACATGTATATCCAGCTAAACTGACTGATTACTGACTTTTCATTACTTCCTTTTCACTGCAGTTCCACCTTTAGAGAATTTTGTGATGAACAGAGTGCTGGGTGATTATTTTGAAGTTCTAATGTACAAGATATTTGTTTCTATAGATGAGCACACTAACATAGCAGAGGTAAGCTCGTCATTTAATTATTCGCATCGGTAATTTATGTTTTATGCACTAATTGAAGGAGCAGTAATCCCGTAGTTAAATTTCTCATTTAAATAGAGATCGGTGCCTTTCAAGGGAGGATTCCAAGAAAGAAAATTAAAATAAAATGTCTCACTTTGTGTTGTGAACTTCAAATAGTTTTACACCAGGAGTAGGATAAAACAAAGTCATTGCTTGGGGTGGGGTGCTGGGGATATTTTCTCGTGGGAGTGGGTGTTGGTAATAATGTTTCTCCTAGGGAGTTGTTGCTGATAGTTATTGTAAATTGGAGGAAACAAATAATGTTAATTTAGCATCTTTTGTTGACTGTAATGGATATGTTTTGCATTTGTGTTTTACTTTACAGTTAGCAAATGTTTTACAGATTGATTTACAATTAGTTAAGGTAAGATTTTTTGATCTTTGAAATAGGTGATCAAGTTATTATTAGTGCACAATTTTTTCTTTTACACGTACTACAAATGTAGAAATGCATAGAAAGGTTGTTTATGCCACACAGAAACTGCAGAAAGATTGGCTTCTTGAATGATGGTAGGTTCTGGACTTGTGACATTTTGATATCGGATTTTGTCTTTCAGAATGCTGTGTCAGTTTACATTCGGTTGGGATTTGCCCACAAGAAGGGCGAAGAAATGGACGAGATGAAGCTACACCACTCCTGGACAGAGAAAGTCAACAGTTTGGCAATGAAAAGGTAGTTCTCAATGTCCCAAGCTACAGACAAGCTAACTTTTGAAGTATCCACACTGTGCCACACAGCCACGGATCCATTTGGAACAAGAATATTAGCTAATTTCACCCTTAGGTCTCAATTTAAAAATAAACCTACAAATTCTACTACTGTATAAACGAATTGGTAAAGCAGGAAAATGAAGAAAAAACCAATATGAAAGCAGGGTTAATGCGGCAAAAGGCTGAAAAGAACGGCTTGAGGCTTAGAGGTGATTTTCAAGCAATCAACGACCAATATGATGTGCCTTGACAAGACGCACATACAGCTTTGTCACAGCTTGCTTGCAACTTGCAATAGGTAAGTTTAGGAACTTCTGGTGCGTTGAATGCAGAAAGAATTGAGTTTACAAAGGGGAATTTTGTAAAAAAATTATTGAGGAAGTGATCGCCAACTGGGCATCTAAACGCAATCTGGGTGTGGAACACGAACCTCTCTAGGGAAAGAATTGGCTTTGGTCTCGCTTGAGGGACGACCTGTTGTTGAGCACTTTTCCTGTTTTGTTTTGATTTGCTGTTTTCGTCTTGTCTTACACTAGATATGGAAGCAGAGACAATTTGTTGACTCTAGATCTTAACAACCTTCCTGAGAAGACAAATTCTGTGTCTTCACTGGACGCTCCGGCAACTGATGCCCAAGAAACAAATGGAGAATTGTCCACTACAGGTAGAAATAACATGCACTGGCAACTCCTTCTTGAAATATAAGCACTGACCTTTAGCGGTGACAGTCCAGTTTTAAAAGTGATTGTTGTGGTTTCTTATTCTGTGTGCTTTGTGTAATGTAGAGTTTGTACGACTTGCTTTTGTCTTTTGTTTTACAGAGAACATTTCAGGAGGGAATTCTAAGAGAATTGCATTCCTATTTGACTCTACACTGACGGCATTTCTTATGATGGGCAACCTCTCACCGGTGAGAAACTGCTTTAGTTTTCCCTTAAAGTGATTGGTTTAAAAAACCTCACGCCACCTACAGTACTTGACCGATCAGAGGCAATACCGAAATAAATCACCAATTGGTCACGTGCGTTTTCCCGCGCTTGGCTTTGTACGTATTCGCGTTGTGTTCTCATTGGTTCGCTGTGTCGTTTACTTTTATTGTGATTGGCCAGTGTGGTTGCTTTGGTTTTGGTTTCATAATAGGCTCGATTACCAGCCGCTGTTCGGGAAGGGATATAATGGCGGAAATCGAGACTTAGTGGGAAAGCGTTCAAAAGAGGAAATAACGTGATGATTTTTTTCGATGCAGGGTTTAAAGAGTCATGCTGTCACCATGTTTGAAGTTGGAAAGCTCACAGACGAATCCTTGGACAGCTTTCTTGGGGAGCTTGAAAAGGCAAGTTCTGATTGAAGCACTTGTTTAGAATTGTTTCTTTAAGTTGATAGTAAATATTAAATGATGTGTGTGTTAACTGTTCATCTGCAGGTGGATAGTGTGGCAGAAGGCGAAGCACAGCGATATTTTGACCACGCCATCACACTTAGGGACACTATCCTGTTCTTGAGATACAACAGGAACCTTGGTTTAGAACCTGGTCAAGTACCTGCTAAGGGCTTAGGTGAGTAATGTATTTAAGGGTCCTGTACCTTAGCCCCTTTTTTATGACAGGTTAAAATAGGGGAGGTATGCCTTGAGCTTTAAAGTCATTTTTTTGTGATGAACGAAGTTACCTCCAGGATTTGGTACTTTATTATTAGTTACCTCCAGATTGAAAGAAACGACATGAATTGGGCTCAGAGGGTTAAACTAAAAGAAACACATGATATGACTGATTAGAAGCAATGCATGTGATGATTAATGAGCAAACATGTCTTCTGAAGACCAGAGGCTACTTTAAGTCGCTTTTATCGGGTTTCTCATAGCAAGCGTGCTATTACAGTGTACTTGGATTTGTATCTCAATGGGAAAAGCGTTTTTGTTTACTTTGTAGATCTGTTGCGATGTGAAAGTCTTAACAGTTTAGATTCTGCTGCCTGTGGTCGGGTACTACAGAAAAACTACAGGTAATTGATCAAAAAGAAGCCCACTCCTGACATTTTCTATGCAACAAGAGTAAAATTTAGTTCTTTTTGTACTACGTGCCTTTTAATGCTCAGAAATTACGTCTGCCAATGAAGAAGCCTTCGCTGAATGACTTATTCGGTTTCAGTGTGGAACTTAAAGCTCATAATTTAAACAAGCACCCAAGAATTACAATACTAGACTACGAGTAGTCCCTCTTCCGCTTAGTCCTTTGAGTGAGACCGTAAATATACTGCTAAGAAACTTGCCTCCTTTCGCGTACTTCTCGCCCCCAGGATTTCGCGCAGCCAGTTTTTTCTCGCGATTTTCTCGCGATTTTCTTTCGTGTCACGCACGACGGGCCAAGTGAAAGAGGGACTACTCGTAATCTATTACGATACGACCTACAATGATGAACAAAAGTCTTGGGACAAATTTGCTCTTTTGGCGCTTTTGCACACACGCCAAACGTAATAAAACTTCACCTGCCTTGTCTCTCTCTCCCCTCCCGCCCACCCCACATATGATGTTGAAAACTGTTGATCGAGCTTGATCAATGTCGATGTCACTTCCATTGTATTGGATGGGGATTAGGGGGGTGGGGGGCAGCAAAGCGTTTTTTAAAAGCACAGCAGTGCTTTTTTCAAACTTCAATTGTAAAACACAGATAATTCGTTTCATTACATAAGTGTCCCAAGGACTTTTTGTCCACGATTGTAGCTAATTTTTTCCCCTCATTTCAGCTTATTAGTGTCCATGGCCCCTCTTAGCAACGAGATTCGACCCGTAACGAGCTGTTGC